GCAATATTTCTATGTGTAGCAGGTGTCAAAGGGATTCAGTATTCAAAAGTTCAGCAGGCCTGGGGTGAGAAAGCTGTAAATGGCATATAGTACATGGGTCCTGATGATTTGCAGTTTAGTGCATGACAGATCCATTTTGTATGTGCTGTCCGAGGTGTGAGGGAGGATTTAAGCAACCCTATACGAAGGATAGAACCACATGAAAGTAGGATGAGAAAATTTGGGTTTATTATTTTTTTTTTTCCCCCCCGAGAGGAAAATATTCTGCATCCGTTTTAGTACCGGATTTATCATTTCAACTTGTTTAATAGCATTTTAGGAAAACAGCTTTGCAAAGCAGGAGCCCCTGATAGGCAGGTTAAAAGCTGTAAGCATTAGAATCAGCCAGTGCTTCTATAGGACTAGACTCCTCTTTGGTTAATGCGTTAAATCATTGACTTACAAGTGATGAAACATTTAGGATAAGTCAGTTCTTGTTGCTCTGAATGGATGAAAGGTGGTTTATGGCCTTCATTACAAACTTTGAGTCTGCTTTCTCCACTCACAGAAGCATAAACCTATTTTTCCTGCACAGTACACGCTGCTGGCATAAACCACAGGAGCACCGCTCTGCTTTCACCCCTCTTCTGCCACTCTTAGGAGACTAATCTGCAACAGGGGATGCACAAATCTGACATGAACTGCTAAAGCTAATCTTAAAATGAGCCACTCGTGGACATAACACTGTTTCCTAAATGGTGTGAATGAAATGCAAGTGTGTTGCACTCTCTCTAAAAAAACCCAACAGGCTCCACTCCTGCAGCCACTGAGATGGTTGTAAAGGCAGATTGTGCTCTCTTGAATTTGCACTGAAAACCACGTGGCCAGCCCAAAAATGAGACTAACCGATGATGACAACAGAATAAAAATAACAAGATAAATATCCTAACCATCACCCCAAGCAGGGAACTTTCAAAAGGTCAAGAGGGACAAACTCCTATGCCCTATTTCTTCGGTAAAAGGGTAGCACTAAGAGTTCTAATGTTCCTCTGTGTTTTAAAGCAATCTTCGATCTGAGAGCCTCAGTTTTTAGCTTTTCCCTGCAAGGTGGGTATTACCAAACAAGGCAACTAAATAACTTGCCCAAAGGTCTGCATGAGATCTAAGGCAAGACTACGAAGAGATTCCTGTTGCTTGGCTGTAACTGCACTGGGCGTTTTTCTTTATGTTTTTGCTTGTATCCCCTTGTGTAGCTGATTCCTTCCCCTACAATCGACTATCTCATTATACATCCTGGACCTGTCTGCCCAGGTGAGAATGCAACGCCTTTCAAAAGCACTGGGCTTTGTTTTTCTTAAAAAATGAACAAGTGAGTGAGCCTGGGATGAATGAATCGCGACATTAACATGTTAAAAAGGGATGCCAGAGCACATCAGCCCAGATCTGCCGCGTGTAGGTTAAGCAGCAAAGTGCAAAGCAGACAGTCAACTTGAAGTCAAAGAGAAGGATCTTCTTTCGGTTACACTTTTTTTTAAGTGTCTAAAATTCTTCCAATAGCCACAGAAAAAGGATTTTTAAAGCAACTCTCCATTGACTTCAGTGCAGCGACCAGGTGTAGCTGAAGGCAGAACTCAGTGTTTCAGGCTTGCAGCCCAAGCTGTGGGTGCTCACAAGTGAACCCCTTAGTCCAGTGGTTTCCATCTTTTTTGGATTTGGTCCTTCCAATGGATCATCAAATTCCCATAGTGCGAATTTAAACCTAACGACAAGAAGTTTGGGTTTGAGACCCATAGTGTTGGACTGTGCACCATCACTGACTGCAGGTCAGGGCTCCTAAACCACTGTGCTAATGGTATCCCAAATTGTGACAGTAGGTTTGGTTCAGTATAACAAACAGTACAAAAGGCAGGAGGATAAAAACTAAAATAGTTGCAACTAAAGCCCCTTGGGTGCCTCAGGAGACTCTGACAATAGTCATTTCACAAAACCAACGATAAATCAGGTAAAACTTAGACCCACCGTGCAGGTGAGCTAGGAAACAGACACAGTATCTGTTTTCTGTTGTAATAGTACCACACAGCAGTAATGTTGTCCTCTTGGTGAAGTTACAGATAATCCCATTTTCACAAATAGAAAGTATTGTAAGGATGGAAAGAGAAAGCCTTCACGAGATCCACCCATCCTCCAGTTCTTTGCCAGATGAACCTGATTTTTCCATAGGTAGATCAAGGCTGGTCATTGATTCTCAAGAAAACAACAAATTCCCTCCTCAGTTAAATGCATTATGCCAAATGCATCCCTGATGCAATTCTGCTCAGAACAATCCTCTTGCTCCATGGATGAGCCTGCTCTTTGCTCCATTGGCCTGAAGCAGCTCTCTGTTTCTCCCTGGAGGTGACTCAGGGATCTATTTCCTTCCCTATTACCAAGTTCAAGCAATTGCACATCACGGATCAAAAACTATTTCATATCATTTCTGCAGCTTCCAGGCAAACTCCAGTTACATTTCTTCAACCAAGCTCATGACATTTTTTATTTATGACTGTGGGAATAACAGCACATGAGTAATTCGGGGCTGAACATACACATTTGCAACCCCAAGAGCTGAACACTGCTCCTACCACTGATTACAGCCCTTGTTTGTTGTTATAACATCTTCTGCCTTGGTACAAGGGAACTGCATCAAGATATGCCACCCTAACAGTGATTTCTTTGTGTTCCTCTACATCCTGCATACAACTTATTTTTCTCTCTTTAGGGCATAGCAAGGACAAAGCATTTAAGTACTTCAAGGTTTATCCTGCTGAAACAATTATTGTGTTGCTATACTACTAACACCATTCTCCCCATAACGCTTTTGAATGATTTGAATGTACTCTGGGAAAGGACTACAAGGAAAGCAAGCATAAAACCGAGACAAGGGAGTACATAGATCAGGATGCTAATCTTAACAGCCTGTTGTGTCTGAATCCTCTTAATGTAATAATACGACATTAGTGTCTACGGAGGACTGGCCCAAAGGTCCATCCAGACCAGGACCCTGTCTCAGACAGGGCCAACGGCAGAAGCCTATGGAAAATGATGAAAAAAATACGAGTGGAGTACCATTTTCCCTGAATGTTTCTCTAGACTCCAGTTATTTGCTGCTCAGCAGCTTCTTGAGTCAGTATGCCTTTGCATTCGATGGTTGTCACTTGAATGTTGATAACAACAATTATCCCCTGTCAAAAGCACACTTGAACCCCTGTTATTATCACAAGACGATGTGAAAACACTGAAGATGAGGAAAGACGGTCCTACAGCTGTTAGCAAACCTCTGGCTTTTGTTGGCCACGTCTCCACTAACCACATCTGGGACGGCTCTGTGACGCCAAGGTTCACTGCCATGGAATGGCCTATGTCTGTCTTAGTCCTCTCTCTTACCCTCCAAAACAGTAAGCTATCTATTTTCTAAGTGGTCCCTTTGCTGTATTATCTCCTGAGCCGCTGCTGGGAACTGTTTGAGAGAGGCAGTGCTGGCTGGCCCATTCTCAGCCAGCCAAGGACACTTCTAAGACGTACGAAGAACCAATTTCCTACACCAGGAAATATTCCTTATGCAGACGTAGCCGCTGATTTAAACTCAGTTGTGATGGGTTTATAGCAAGCATGTCTAACACACTGCTTGTGTACAATTGTGTACAATGCTTGTGTACAATTGTGAACATGAGCCGGCAGTGTGCCCAGGCGGCCAAGAAGGCCAATGGCATCCTGGCCTGTATCAGAAATAGTGTGGCCAGCAGGAGGAGGGAAGTGATCGTGCCCCTGTCCTCGGCACTGGTGAGGCCGCACCTCGAACGCTGTGTTCAGTTTTGGGCCCCTCACTACAAGAAGGACGTTGAGGTGCTGGAGCGTGTCCAGAGAAGGGCAACGAGGCTGGTGAGGGGTCTGGAGAACAAGTCTTATGAGGAGCGGCTGAGGGAACTGGGGTTGTTTAGCCTGGAGAAAAGGAGGCTGAGGGGAGACCTCATCGCTCTGTACAACTACCTGAAAGGAGGTTGTAGCGAGGTGGGTGTCGGTCTCTTCTCCCAAGTAACAAGCGATAGGACGAGAGGAAACGGCCTCAAGTTGCGCCAGGGGAGGTTTAGATTGGATGTGAGGAAAAATGTCTTTACTGAAAGAGTGGTGAAACATTGGACCAGGCTGCCCAGGGAAGTGGTGGAGTCCCCATCCCTGGAGGTATTTAAAAGACGAGTAGATGAGGCACTTAGGGACATGGTTTAGTGGACATGGTGGTGTTGGGTCGACGGTTGGACTCGATGATCTTAGAGGTCTTTTCCAACCTCAATGATTCTATGATTCTTGTGGAAACCCCTTTGATAAGAAGGTAACTTTAGGCAGTCACATCCTAAAGGTGTTAAGAAAAAGATGTGGTTTTGGATGGGTGTAAACTCGGTCCATATCACCCTACCAATTCAGGTGAAGCATGCAGGAAAAAAAGGAATAGACTCTATGACTATGTGGTGTGTAACACCTGAACAGTCCTAGATAATGGGTGAACTAATATTGCTCAGGATATACTGCTGTCAGTTCTGCTTTCTCAGTCATTCTAGATGGTCTTCAGCGCTATTTCAGAAACGATCACAATATGCCTGCGGCTTTACTTACTGGCCCCTGGTTTTTCTCAGCAGTACGTAACTCACGTTCTGCCAGGCTGACAGACGTTTTCAAGTATTCCAACAGGAATAGAAACATTTTTCTTGCACTAGTGGAGGTGTGACATACCCTTCATTTGCTCCTCCTTTTTCATATAATGCATTTATGAACATTATATGAAGAAGTTGATTTGCCAGGTTTGGAAATCAACAGATGGTGATGGGTATAGAGCTGAGCTGCAGTATACCCATGCACATCTTGATAGACATACAGATACGTGTACACCAACAATCAACATGGATAAGATGGCAAATATATTCGGTCCTCAATGAGATGGTTTTAGAGTAATTCACTGACATACTTACAGAGCTGGTCAAGGATCATACCTTCTATGGTAATGGCTTGGTCTCCTCTCCTCTCCTGGGTCAGGGCTGCAGCACTGTGATGGTACAGTTCCGCTCCACTTTTTGCAGACCCTAATCTGTTCACCAGCTAAAGAGAATCATGCAGTACCAAATGAAACGCAGGATGTTTTTGTATAATAAAACCTTCCTATACTACATCACAACTTGATTGCAATTATATGACAACAGAAATGGGTGAAGATGTGACCCCAAACCTAAGCTAGAGTTTGCAGGAACACATTGCTGCTCAGTGGAGTTCATGATAATGCTTTACCACAAATGACTCGCACAGACACGTTACGGCACATCAGCTAACTTAGTTATTTGCAGTTTGCTCTGCAGCCTGTGACTTGGTCCTGAGGTAGCTCTGTCTCTACCAACAGACACAGATTCCTGCTGTATGGCATTTAAGTGGTAGTTAAAGAGGGTTTTTTGTTTATCACCCATTAATCAACTGAGTCTTACTCAGCCAAGGGAATACTGGACCTTGGGATCTTAGCTAATGGCAAATGCAAGGTAATGTGATTTTGCTAAAATTCTAGTAGAAGTCTTTAAATTATATCAAACTTCCTAAAAATTTCTGTGGAACAACTGTGAAGTTGCTGTGAGCTGAGCCATTTACCATGGGTCAGCTGAGCCATTGTAATTTCCTAAATCGAGGTCAACTGTTTTTATTGCTGAGCCCTGAGAGCTTATTACTATTTTATTACGGTGAATGCACAGACTATGACCAATTTTTAGAAAATATTTTACAAGACATTTATTTTAATTTACTAGATACTTCCACGTATGCTTGCTAAATAAACAGGAATTTCAGTGGTTTAGATTTAATGTCTTTCTTTTGGCTTTGGATGGTTTCTCTGTAGCGGCATGAATCTGTTCTAATTTAAAGACAGTCCAGAAACAAAACGTCACATCAGAATGCTCCTAAATTTTGTAAGAGGTACCTCTAGAGATCTGGACCTGAATTTAAGCTACAGAACAAGCTCACTCAATTATTATTTGAACTACCAAACTCTCAGATTGGAATATTCTGAAGCTTATGGATGTTCACAATCTGGATCTAGGTTAGGAGAACCTGACTTTGTATAAGCTTTTTTGATATGGCAGGTGGCAGCAATTACTCAGCCACTATTCTCATGCAATGGATCTCTCCCAGTAAAATGAATTCTCCTACTTATGTCATGTCAGACAGCGGATCTTTAAATCTCTCCGAACTTACCTCACATTCATAGTGCCCCATGTCTTCATTGGACGGGTTCTTGACCACCAGGACTATTATGCCACTCCGTGGTTCACTGAAAGTCTGGTATTTACTTGTGTCTTTCAACAGTAGACCATCTTTGTACCATCTGCATGTGGAAAACACCGTGTATAAGCCAGGAAAAAATATGCAGTGCCAAGAAGTCCCCAGCTCACTGATCCATCTATCAGACCAGTGGGCAAACAACTCAAGAGTTAACCATTAGACAAAAGTTTGGATCCTGGAAGATGGGTCCACAGGTGGGTAGATCACACGTGGTTACTAAACTTGCACAGGTTTATGAGATTCTTCTCAAAAAATCTCATGCTGGCAAAAGGGCTTCTAATCATGCGAAGCTATGCTGAGCTTTTTGTCTGAATACCCCAGACTGGTCGCTGATAAAATAAATTCAAGTGTAAGGCAGGGAGGATAAAGGAAAGATAAAATGTTGTCAGGGCATTAGGTCTGATACAGTCCTATGGCAGGTATTATCTGTAGGTATTTCTTTTCAGATGCTAGCTAGAATAAATTGCTGAGAATCTCAGGAATGTTGGGACTGGGAAGAGCCAGCACTGGGAGGGGGTTAAGGTGGAAGACACGGAGAAAAAAGGGTCATAACCTTGAAAGAGAGGGCAGGAGACTCTTCTGACCATACAAAATGGGAAAACAGGGTTTGTTCCAGCGTGACTTGAAGAACTGACCTGATTTGTGGCCTAGGTTCTCCTTCGATAGTACAGGTAAACTGAGCATCTTCACCCTCCACAAAATAAGCATTTCTAACTTTGTTCACAAACCGTGGTGGCACTGCAAAACAAAGATAAATGTAGCTAGTAGCTGGAAATATGACCAGATACGAAGGATGTGTCCCTGACCAGATAATTCTCATGATGTCTGCAAACAAGACACTAAAGACCAAATTTTTTCACGTAAGAACAATTGACTACACCTGTACCTCAAATAATTTTTTTAAAGTATTATCCCAGTAGATGTTATACAGAACTTCTGGAATGTCTTAATATTCATGTTTAAGGTATTACATAGCTGACCCCTTTAAAACAATGCATCTGTGCAGGACTTTACCTTGAACAAGTATCTTCCCTAAGGTACTGGCACTTCCAGCAGGACTGGAAGCAAAGCACATGTACTGTCCTGAGTCAACACCTGTTAGGTTGTCCAAGATCAATGTGCAGGAACCGTCGGGATCTTCTATTATAATGTGATGGGGATCCACCTCCACAGGCTTTCCATCTTAAAGATAAAGGGGGAAAAAAGTCTTTGTAAAGAGTTTAGTATCAATTATGTTTTCTCCGTGGGAATTTCATCCAGCTTTTCGGCTTGGGAGGACTGAGAGCTGTATTTGCTTTATTGCAGCTGATGTTGGTAGTTGAGGAATGAGCTCTTCATCTTCCTCCAGCTCTCTACAAAACATCCTCTGGGCAAAGCACTGTTGAGGGACCTCATACAACATCAATCTTCGTTTAAAAATGAAATTCTCCCAGAGCATGTGCTGAGCGGTTATAGCTCTGATTTGTTAGCCAAAGGAACACCTCCAAAGTGACTGTAAACATGCAGAACAGATCTTTACGAGGCGTGAACTTATAGCAAAGCTGTTTCCTCTGCAATACAGTCATGCCGGGGAAAAGAGTATGTCCGCACAGCTGCCTGTGCTGTAACATGGAAACATCTGAGCTAGTTCAAACAAGTTGTTCGTTTACTAGAAGTTGTCTAACTGCCACAAGATGTGGATTCATACGGGCTAACAGTCAAACCTGAAAAAGCAGGGTATTTTAGCTCACAGGAAGATCTATGTTACTTGGGTTGTTTAGTAGCTAACTTTAAGGCTAGACTTGGGTATCTCTAGGTGGTCAGCTTTTAGATTACCCACTAACCAACTAGCACAAAGCAATATAGACGGAGAACAAATTTGGAGGATGCATTTTGTGACTCGCTGCTCATACCTTTGTACCAGCTGACGGATGGCTTGGGAGCTCCCGTAACTTTGCAAGCCAGCTTGACTGTCTCTCCCAGCTCAGCTGTACAATCTGCCAGTTCTTCCTCAAAGTCTGGAGGTACTGAAACATCAGAATAAGCAGGTTAGTCTGGAGGAGGGGGGCTCTGTCCACAGGATGGCTGCTGCAAAGTAAGATAAGAATAGGTATAATTTTTTTGCAAGACTGCGAGGTTCAGAATGGAAAGCTGAACAGGTAATTTTAGCAGCTAATGACTTTCCAGGTGACATGCTGTCCTTGCTTATCTGAGACTAAATTCAGTCTGCCAAATGTCTGTTGTTGGCTGTAAAGATGGGCCATAAAAAGCTGATCTGGAAGTATTTTAGGCCACGATTTTAATAAGCACATCTATTATTCAGACACCACACAGCTGTCACAGTTAAGATAATTCCCCAATTAAAATTCACTCTTCATATCCAAACCGGTGTTCTGTTGGTGTCCATACAATAAAATCTATGCTTTGTTAAGGGGCTTTTATTTTAACTTAGTACTACCACATGAAACTATGCAAAATTATTCTGATAGTCTTCCTCATTAGAACACCTCACTAAAAGCATAACAATAAAACGCCCAGACTTGTTTTCAGTGTATATACACTAAAACCAACTCTGTTCTGGCATTTTAAGATGCCAAATTTCCTTATGCTGTAAAGGACACCATTTCTAGCTTATACCTGGACAGTAAAGATCTAATATCCCTGCTGATAAATTCTGTGGATAGAAAATTGATGGAATCTCAAATGACAGTGAGAACGAAGCAGCCTGAATGACAAGAGAAAAATCCAAAGCAAACCCATGTGCTCAGATACAGCAATGTAAGCCAGAAGTCGAGTGGAGGATTCGGTACCCAACAAAGTCACAGCGGGCCTTATACTGGTATGAGTAGGACTCTGGGTCAGGTCGTGAGACTACTTTTCCCACTGGAGTCTGATGCTCTTCAGGCAGTGGGCCAGGGCCTTTGTCACCAAATTCTGCGGTCATCTACCCTTCTGCAATCCCTGCCAGATCAAATGCATCTCTAGTGCCAGCTCTGCAGTTTGCATTTTAGAAGTTTCAATAACGTGTTTCCCTTCTCCAGTGACACACATTTCTGGGCTATTTTGCTGGAAAACAACATCCTCTGCTTATTGACAAAAATGTATGAATATGAAGACAGGGAACTGTGCGACCACTTCAGTCTCTGACTCTGATGCTCCATCAAAGGCAACCCACATCAGCTGAAACGGCCAGGGATAGCCAGCTCTTCTCAGCTCATCAGCCTGGGTTGGGTTACAGACATTGAAGAATAATCAGAAAGCTGCTCATCTGCTCTGCTATTGCCTAAAAACCTATACGGGTCCTGTGGGACCTCCATCACGTAAACTTAATCACTTCAGTGATATACAGTCTTGGCTCCCTTGATGGTAAATGGAGAGAGTCAAACACCACTGTCCCATCCTGATAAACGTGCCTTCCCCAGCTCAGGTGGAGGACATAACACTGCTATAATCATCCCAGTTAAAGCTTACCGCGTGCTGTCAAGTCACGTGACTTGTTATTTACAGCAGTCTGTGATGTCATTAAAGGAAAACCTCTAACCCTAGTTGAGTTTAAGAGGTGGCAAATGACCCTAGATGGTTTCTCTCCCTCTTTTGTTAATCTCCTTCCTGAATCAGGGAGACCACCCAAGAAAAAACTAGGAGGTTTGGGCTATCTCGGGCCATACTCACTCCAGACAGGCTCGCTGATCCGCTGCTGTATGCCACAGATCTCCTTCACCCAGGAGTTCTTGATATTCACTGTACGTGCCTGAAGGAGGTACTTGCGGACCAAGTCTTCCCGTTCGTGCCAGATCTCAAACGCCCGGTCATCCCCTTCCACAAGGTCGTTCACATCTATGCTGTTCAGCTGCGTGACAGAAGGAGGACAAGAAAGTCAACACACATCCTGCGTTCTTAGGGCCGAATTTCAGCCAGAACCTTTCCCACAACTGAAATCCCAGAGTTTAGGACAGTTCAGATCTGGACCTAGCCTTTCTGAACCAGAACCATCTTCAGTCAAGGTTTGAAATGGAAACAACTATTAAACACCAGCAAGTCTCCTGCTACCAGCGTGTACCCTCTTCAGTGGACACGAGTTGTGCCATTCCCATTAAAGCTATGCTTCAACAGCAAGAGGGATAATTTACACCACTTTTAAAGATTTTTCAGACTGCATGAGCAATGCAACGTGGTTTTGGCTGAACGGCAATCAGGGTCACTTTGCAATCCTTTCCCTGGTATACCTGACTTTCTGGTTGCCAAACAGACATTTTCCTGGGAGTAATTATCACATTTCAGGAAAATAACATCCAGCATTAAAGGGTATCCCAGGGTGGGACACACCAACCCTACAGCGCAGCACTGTTGGGTCCAGGAACAGCACAATTAGGGACTATGTGAAAAGAAATTACAGAGCGGGCACCCTCCGGACAAAGCATCCTTTTTTTTTTTCCTTGGAAAGTAAAATCTTCCTGTCAGTGCCAACAAGGACAGAGATAAAAACTTTCAGAAGGCCCTGACTGGGCTTGGTCAAGAACTCCATGGCTTTTTTGTTTGTTTGGTTGGTTTTTTTACTGGAGTTGAACATCTACTGCCTTGGGAAAACTCTTTCTGCAGTTTCTTGCAGTTTTAACCTGAGCCCTGAATGTCTGAAGATGAGCTGGTCAAATCCTCTGAATTTTTTTTCATTTTTAAACAGGAATTGGTGTCAGGAAAGGCCATAACCAGCAGAGAGAACCACTGGGAATGTAGCATATGACTAAACCAGCATTTCCTCCAATTTAACACCAACACTGCAGACTGCCAAAACCAAAGATCTACAAATGCTAGCAAATACTATAGACAGCAAAATATCACGTACTTCTGCAGTTAACTCAGTGAGCTAACAGAGATGAATAAACACTTGTACATGTGATCTCATTGCTGCACTGTAAAAATCCACCCATGCTTCTGATGGTTTCTGACATGTTTCTGACAGGTTTAGCAGAGATTTTGGGATAGACACAGATTCTACTTGTGCTTCAAAAACTTTCGGAAACAAAGGAATAGCTCAAAAGGATTAGTGAAATGTCCCATTTAGATGACCAGAAGCTGGATATACACATGAAGTTCTCAATGACAGAGAAATGCTCTACGTGAGGATATAATGATCAGACCTTCATGATGTTCTTGAAGATGTAACTGTAGGTGTCCGTCTTTGTGTCTCGCTTTGGTTTGCAAATCACAAGATAATTTTTGAAGAGGAAGACATGTCTTTTGTGTCCTTTCCATGCCATTCTGGCTCCTGGAGCTCCTTCCCACACGATGAAGTGGCCCTGATAGGAAAAAGAAGGAAGAACACATAGTGATAACTCCGGAATAATTACCACAATGATGTCTCACCATCATTTTTCAGTGGACACATAACAAATGTTTACTGTTACATCGTCACTTTATGCGTGTCTGGTTTATTACAGCACAGCAGATTGTTTCTAATGCTAAAGGTGATGCATCAGACTGACAACACCAACAGGGGTGCACACAGCGGTTGTCATTACTTTGACCTTTAAATGATGTTCTTCGTTGCCAGAAAAATACAGAGCTCATGTCAAGTAGGCACACTCCACTAGTACTAATGATAATGGAAAAATATATTATGTGTGTTATGCAGACACTTTATATGCTCAGTTGGTCTCCTTCACCAGAGCAGGACATTCAGTTCACGTACCTTCAGACACATAGAGCTCAGTTAGTGACATGGGGTCCCCCTTGGCATCGTTAGGGAGAAGTAAGCGCTCTTGGGGTGTGACTCACTGGGCTCTTTTTTTTCAGATGTCTAAATGTGGATAGATGGATCCCCGCCAGAGTGTCTCACTATCACTGTAGTTTAGCCTAAAAACTCCACTCAGCAATACACTGTGATTCCCGTGGAAGACACAGGATACAAACAGGCAGAGTAAATGACTCGCCCAGCATGACACAGTAAGTCTACAAAGAAGCAGGAATTTGAGTAAGGGTGTCTTACCCAGTAGCTGGGTCACCTTTCCTCTGTGCTCCTAAAACACACATCTGTTTCATGAAAGAGACCTGGAGAAGCACACAGGTCTTTTGAAGATACATGAACAGCCGTGGGAGAACATCCATAAATTGATCTAGTGTTTTCACATAGAGCATATGCAACGTATACTATGCTACCTTGTACCGACATCCCAGCAACCTAGGATCTTCGAAAGAACAGTGTCAAAAGAAAGCACGTAGATTGAAAAGGCCCAGTGAGCTTCTAACCCTTGAGGAATCAACAGGAAAATCCACTCATGCCAGTAATTTCAGGAGCTGACCCGTGTAGCTTGCCAATAATAAGAGAGGAAGAGGAAAAAATAAAATGCTTTAAAATCATGGCGGGGCCCAGAACAAATCTGTTCCTGTTTGATGAGCAGGCTGGAAAGGCAAATAACTACATTATGTGTGAACTGCTCCATAAGCGTCTATGCTCTGGTGCGTCAAACCTTAATCAAGCCAGGAGACCCATCTTTCTGAACAGTAAGACAGGCAATAAGCAAATACACTCTTTCAGATGTGATTTCTAAAGGAGCTTCTTGTAGGACCTAAGGCTGCTTAGAAACTAGTGAGGGCATGCACAGCACTAACACTGACTGAGAAATTCCAGTTACCTGTCGGATGGGTTCGCCAAGGCTTTCCAAGGTCCCCGGATAATTCTCAATGAGTGAGACATGGAGGTTGTTTTCTGCTCTTCGGGTGAGTGCAGACACAACGGCATAAGCCTGCTCCAGCAAAGTGCAGTTTTGGCTATTTCTTGCTTTGTTTCGGATTAATTCCTGTAGATAAATGAAGAAAACGTTACTGGGCAGTCAGGAAAAAAAAAAAAATTTCCTTGATAGCCGAAGAGTTTTTCAATATCTGTTCCGGCTCTTTCATCTGAGCAACTTTTACCCCGTTCTTTCACCATGTGCTGCTTAGCTACTAAAGTCTCCTCTTTCCTACCCATTCTGCAGCCTCACTGACTAGCCAGTCTGACTTTTCCTTACATCAAGTGGTATTAAACTGTCGTGGTTTAACCTCAGTCAGCAGCTGAGCACCACGCATTGCTCACTCTCCCCCCCGCCCCCGGTGGGGTGGGGGAGAGAATTGGAAGAGCACAAGTGAGAAAAACTCGTGGGTTGAGATAAAAACAGTTTAATAATTGAAATAAAATTATGATAATAATAATATGATAATAGTAATAATACACAAAGCAAGTGATGCACAGTGCAATTGCTCACCACCCGCCAAACGATGCCCTCACATGGTATGGAATGTCCCTTTGGCCAGTTTGGCTGTGCCCCCTCCCAGCTTCTTGTGCACCTCCAGCCTTCTCAGTCAGTAGAGCATGGGAAGCTGAAAAGTCCTTGGCTAGTGTAAGCACTGCTCAGCAACAGCTAAAACATCGGTGTGTTATCAACGTTGTTCTCATCCTAAATCCAAAACACAGCACTGTACCAGCTACTAGGAAGGAAATTAACTCTATCTCTGCTGAAACCAGGACATAAACAAAGACAAAGTTGAAGCAAATACCAGGTATGCTTTGGTGATTGAAAACCAAAAAAACCCAAAGCAATCCTAAATGTATCCATTGCATTTCTCTCGTGCTTACCCTGATGATATCACGAGGCAAGCAATTCATGTGGCAGTGCTAAACTAAGAGTCGCTGTTAGATTAAAAACGAGAGGATGGGAAAAAAAATGAAATGGCAGTTATCCTTTTCTTCCACATTTGTTCCTGTTCCTCTCTTTTAGTAATGAAGGCACGCTCACTCTCTCTTCCAAGAGACCCTTTAAAACTTTGGTGTTTGTGTGGAGGCAGGTGTTCAAAATTAGAAAGTTAATTTGAACCTTCTTCAAACTCTTTAAACTGCTCACCTCTGTAATGCTAGAATACAGAAATATTTTGGCAGTCTTCTTTCTGACTATCCTTGTGCTATTTCCCATGAAAAATACCATTAAAAAATGCTACTTTGAAACTTTGATTTGTGGTCTGGGCTAGAACCTGACATAGTAGGACAGATGAAAACTTGAAAGATGAAACATTTCTGGATGGCAGAATGAGGCAAAGCTTTTCAGAAAACAAAAATTTCATCTTACTATAATGTCAGTATAAAACACAAGGAAAGAAACTGGTAAATAATTTCTTACACATTGGGAATTGCTTATTTTTATAACATACCGGTTGCTGAGTGTGAAGCAAATTCATACTTGTCATGGATATATACATACATGTATTCATATATATGCAAATAAGCATATTTTTTTATATGTGTATGCATATATTTAAAGATCATTCAAGATAAATCTTGCTGAACTTTATGGGGTTGGAGACTGTGAACCTCTACCTGTATTAACATTTAAAAAACTATTTAGAGAGCACCATCGCTGGTGATGATTTCTGTCTGTCTGTCTTAAGCAGCTTTCAATTGTAGTTGCATCAGAAGAAAGCCAAGAAATATGAAATAAAAATAAAATAGTTTTCTACACAAGCTGCACAAAGCAGAACATAAACCTATCAGATACAAGGATATAACACAAGCTTTTCACCTTGATGATAGTCTGGTACTGCTGGATCCTGTTTATGGGTTTTTCCAGGTAGTGCTGCAGTGGTGGGATAAGTGGTTGTGAAGGAACTTCATTAGTTAAGATTTCATCTGTGTATCTCTGAAAAAATACATGGAAGAATGAGGAAAGGTTGTTATAAAGAACAATTGAAAAGATTACTCCCTGGAAAATGCTCATATGATGCTGGTTCATAGGCCTAACTCAGCCAAAACTGGATAGCTCTACCCGACCTTACTACCGCATATTTTGGACGTCTGTAACCCTCCCCCATCCTTTATCAGCTAGTTATCATTTTAGACTGCAAGATGTCTGAAATGCTGAATTTGTCTGCTTTTCCAGTGCAGGACTGGTGCTGGGGAAATGTGACCCAAAGCTTGCAGGACCAGATGGTGTGACGGGAAAGATCAGCGCTGTCGGGGGGGGGGGTGGGGGAATTCATGGCCTTGCAGGACCAGATGGTGTGACGGGAAAGATCAGCGCTGCTGTCGGGGGGGGTGAGTGAACTCAGTGCCAGCAACTGGTACCAGACCTCGGTCGAGAGCGGGCCGTGTGTTTGCAGTGCCAGCAACCGGAGCAAGTGAGGGTGTCTGCACCGGCACCTGGAGTGGGAAGCGCAGGTCACAGGGTCCGTGTGCTGGGGCATCGGCCACTGAGCTGGATGTTTATCCTTTCCACTGACCTGGTGCACGTGGGTGCAACTGTGTGCAATTCACCAGCAAACTTCAAGCTGGGCTGGCTGCAAGTAGGAGATCCAGGATCCAGGCATGGTTACTAGGGAGGCTGAGAGCTTGTGCTGATAATTTGAGGGATCTGTGAATGTGGGGTGAGCGTGAACATGTGCATTTGTTTTCTAGCGAGCATCAGGCTGGACTAGCTGGCGAGTAGAAGGCTCAAGGAGAGGGTAAAAGTGCTCAGGATCTGGGCAGGGGTATTGGATGGACAGAGGAGCCGTGTTGCTACTCAAGGGATCCACGAACATGCATGTGCTCATGAATCTGGAGTGTTGTGTGTGTGTTTTCACTAGTGAACTTCAATCCTGACCAGCTGGAGAGGAGAAACAGGATTTCCTTATCTATACTAATATTTTATGTGAGTTCGCTTGGTCTTATAATGCGGTGGCCCTTAAAACGTCCCTTAATTACAGTTACATAATCACAGCCACGTTCATATCTGTATGATCTTTATAATATTTATAAATGCATAAGCGTATGTAAACGTGTTCCCATATTGATTGTATTGACCAGGAAGAGCTAGAGAGTGAATACAAAATTATTATATTTAGTAATGATTTCCCACAAAAAATATTTAATAATCCTTTTCAGGATCTCATTTGTGATTAATTACTACATTTCTTGATGCAATAGGTTACAGGGTGCATGTTCAGCAGGTACTTTGGCTACTGTTTTACCTTGTAGAAATCCTGGACAGCTTTGCTGACAACAATCGACTCAGCCTGTACTCTCCCCACCAGGTACTGAATGTACTTATTAAACTCTGCTTCATGCTTGATAAAGCACATGGCCACGTCATCATCAGTGTCACATTTCTGCAAGCCTCGGAGGAAGACACTGTGGAGACAAATCAAAAAGGACATCTGAGGAGAAGGTGACGGAATGAGGCTAGAACACAGCCCCAGCAGCCAGACTTTTAAATCAGGCAATTTCAGGTTAACACAGATTAAAGGACATGACTGGGGGAAATGAGGGATGTTGCCACATTAACATTAAACTTCTCAATGCCTCTTCATCCAGCATGATGCTGTCCCTCTTAGCTTGAATGTATGAAATGCCCTGCAAGGAAGGCAGGGATAACTTTCAAGGGCTTAGCCCAAGTTGGGAAGTTAACCCCTGCCCAGATCCTTATGCCTCAGTTTAAGGATCAATGAGCCATCCACATGAGTGAAGACAGTGATCCACGTTCTGTTTCACAAAGGATGTTGAGACAGGTTCACATGCACAAAGATTTTGAGCAGTGTCGGTAGCTGATGACGTGCATCACCTCTCGCAGTTGAAGTTACTTTTGGGGAAAAACAAAAGGAGAGGGAGAGAAAAGAGAGAGAGAGGGAGGAAAGAGAAGGGAAATCTATTCTGTGGCCCAGCCAGGAGAAGTTCCGGATGTCCCACAAAGCGTCCTCCCCATTGCAGAAGCGGTGCCCCCCCATAATGCTTTCCCCAGAGTAACTATATACTTTTCATCGCAACCTGCTCAAACTCTGTATTGGTTGCTCCTGCTTACGATGCTGCTGGCACCGATCGGAGCACACGTTGATCAGGGAAGATGCTGCATGCTCACTGGTTGTTAAGCTTTGTGCGTGCATATTATTGACCCCCTCCCCCAAGGTAACCCAAAAGTTAGGACCACAGGATAGGAAAACGGGGAAGAAAGGGTGATTCTCATGCTGTTGGCAGGGACTTCCTATGAGAACGACCACTTCCCATGAGAGCAAGGGTATCAAGGTGCAAAAGGAAGCCCCTTAGCAACGGAAAGCCTAAGGCATGTAAGACATTGTACGACACCTCTTCTTCCTGGCAAGTAAAAGTATTTCAGCCTGGACCTTGGGAAGTCACTTTGTGAACAGCAGATCTGCAGTAAATCCTCTCTTGGAGTAGGCAGAGGCATCGTGCCACGGCGTTGTACCTGGGCAGCCTGCTACGGCTGGATGTGGTTTGAATGCATGGACGCTGGCACCAGCTTTAGGTGAATGTGTGTCTCTATGAAGACACCACTGAAATGCCTGTAAGACCATGCTGCCTTTTTATAATTCACTGTTTCTCAATTAAATTCACTTAAAAGGGTAAGAAATAAGCTGGACATATGAAGCTTTGAAGGGTATTATGTGAGTCCCAACCCTGTGCTCTGACTTAAGCTATACCATCATCTATCATCGCAAAAGGACCATCAATTCCCTTGCACCTCAGCACTGCCGGCGCTCCACATCCTTCACAGTAAAATTCACCGTTTCTCAATTAAATTCACTTAAAAGGGTAAGAAATAAGCTGGACATATGAAGCTTTGAAGGGTATTATGTGAGTCCCAACCCTGTGCTCTGACTTAAGCTATACCATCATCTATCATCGCAAAAGGACCATCAATTCCCTTGCACCTCAGCACTGCCGGCGCTCCACATCCTTCACAGTAATGGGTATGCGAGCCACTTTTTGGTCTCAGATGAAGGCACGTGGGAATGCCCACCTGGAATGGAAGCGAGCTATGCCATCAATATTTCTGAAGATGGTGGATTTCTGGCTGGCGACAGCTCCTGGGACATTGGGACAGGTCTCAGTGTACTTAAGGTGATGAGTCTGGAGAAACTGTAGATCTTGAACGTAATCCTCTTCTGAGGTCAACAGCTCTTGAATAAGAACACTGAAGGGAAGACAAATAGGCAAAAAGAAATCACAGAAAAATCATCACAATTATCCTTGTGGTTAAACCACAACACCTTGACATGCTGAGAGACTTTTAGGCTCTAAAGTAGAGACATATGATCAGAGGAACACACTCCTTGGGGTGTGTTGACTAGATCCCCTCTGACCATAAGAGGAACTTAGACACCCTGCTCATGGAGTGACACCTACCTCTACCTTACAGACATCTACTGTTAGGGCAGATAAAAGAGAGCGTGAGCAACAAAAGGATCTATGTAAAGCACACAGTAACAACTTCAATGCCACTTTATGCAATCAAGAAATCAAATATCTCCATGAGAGCACACTCAGTAGTGTGCTGCACTGCAAGGGAGTAACACAAGGTTGAGTGCTTTCACTCCCTCTTTAGACATCATCCTCAGATATAGGGCACCCCAAAGGACAGAGGTACTGTAGTTCAGGATTTTGTGAAATCAGAGAGCTTCCAGAATTACATCATGTAAACCCCTCCTTTCAAGTCATCCAATATGGTTTAGATTGCCGGGAATTTTCCTAGGCTGAAATCAACGGCAAAACCCAATGAAAGATCACAAATTACAAGTCTGAAAGAATCAAAGGTTTGCTTGATTCTGGGAAAGTGGAGGTGGCAGGACTCAGCAGAACATAAACAGTGACTCTGACAGGAGGGAGCTAGATGCCAACATTCATGTTAGTTCAAAAGGCAGGAAAACTCAAAGGTGCAAATACCAAATGACGTGAGCTCACCTTAGCTTCCTTTTATATTCATCTTCAGAAACAAACTCTCCAGGGAACTCGGGAGCTTCTGTTGTTCCCCATTCTGGTGACAACTAAAATACAAGAGAAAAGAAACATTATTCTTTTAAGTTAACATGCTGTTATCAATGCTCACTGAAGAATACCCCTCCTGTGTTCACAGTCCCTTTCAACAATTCCTAAACCAGTGTGAAATTTCTTTTTTGCTGGAGGGTGATTAGGTCTTTCAAAGCCAGGCACCCCTGCACACATACAGAAATATTGTCTAGTCAAAACATGAAAAAGCCCAATCATGTTACAGACTCCAACAACCTCCTCATCCATCACTCCTTGCAAAAGGGATGGCTCTAAACTGCAACAGGAGCAAGTAATTTTACATGAAAAATAAACACAGCGTGATCAGTCACCTTTAATTTCTTGTCCAGATAAGCTGGAGATACCCAACCCTGTCGAGAGGGGCTAGATTTTGTGGGTTTAGTCCTGACCAGCCATTTCAGAGGATGAGCTGAATCAAGGACTTCCACATATTGGCCTTCCTTCAAAGTGATGGTCTCCCTGTCAGGCGCAGCGGGCACATAGTCAGCCGTGACCATGTAGACGTCAAAGATCTGCAGGCATGAAACGACAGTTATTTTGTGCTCTGAAAATAGAATACAGTAACACTAGCAGAAGATAAGTGCTTATCTGTGTTTAATGTTTTATTCTCCAGCCCTTGTACAGCAGAGAGAATCACTTTGCTTTTTGCAAGTGGAAGGCTAAATCTCTAGGAGGCTCAGGCCATATTTTCAAAACTCTATGAGGTGTTTTGGATTTACACCATGAAACAGTGGATTTTTCTCCCAAGGCAAAACAAACAGTGGTCCTGAAAATGTCAAAATAGGATAACATTTCCAAAGTTTTAATTTCTTTTTTTTGGAAGTGTTTGAAATGAACACCCAAAAGACTTCTAATTTTCAGAAAATTCTCATTTTTCTCATGAAGAACTTCTCAACAAAGTTCTTCTGACCAACTCCATCCAAGGCCACAGAAAATCAAACTCTGACTTTCTGAAGCTCAGCCATGAAAGCAAAAGGTGCCCAATAATGGATATGTTTTGACCATGTTGTCTTGAACAACTTGTTCAAGATCACACAGTAAGCATCAGAATTTGATTCTCTGTGCTCCGTATCACAGACCCAATATTTAACTACTAAATATACCTACTAAATTGAAGTACATCCCTAAAGGAGATGGCGATACTTAAATCATAGGAGATTGGTTGTTCTAAGTAAAGTTTTCTCCTTGTATCAAACTTGTCCATAAAGATATCATACCTCTCCTCTGGAATCCCCATCTTCAGATTCGGAGGAGGACTCCTGAGCAATGGATGAAGGTCTGGATCGTCCATGGCGAGGAGATGCAGAGGGAGTTTTTGATTCATCATCACTTTCTGCACCTGGCACTCGAAGTGTAGCTAAAAAGCAGAGCAACAGCAAAGTGTGAAATAACGATCTCCAATTTGAACATGAACCAAATCTATAATAACTTTCAATTTCATAAAACCAAATATTCCCTAGGAAGAGCATCTGTAGTATTTAGTGTGATCTCCTATTGATATTTAGGATTAAATAAATAGTTGGGACGTTTTAGTACGTGAGGTTGCATGCCTACTGCAGGTATTGCCACTGCACTGCAAGAATATTTGTAGGAGTAGTAATGCCTCTATTTTTGCTTCAAGATAAAATTTTACTACAGGATAATCAGTATATGAAACACAAACCAGGATTTTTCATCTAATCCAATGAACCATTGGATTACTGCACAGCTGTGCACACAGTTTTCAGCCTCAACTTGATTTTAAAATCCCATTGTGAGCTAAAACTTGAAGATGTGGGACATCTTCAAAACAGGGTTGCTTTCAGACTCAGGAGTGATGAATATCTGAGGAACTCGAAATACCTAAGATGTTCAAAATAATATGCTTCAATTTTTACAACTTGCCCTCCACTCTAAAGCTTACAGTTACTCCTGCTTCTTTAAATAAACACTGTATGCATAAAATGGACACTAGCCATCTTAGTTCACTGTAATAGCTTGCTTTCTCGTTCAAAACTGTAGACTAAGACATGCAGTTTGGATGGACTAAAATTGCTAAAAATTCTTAGTCCTAAGCATTTACAAATGTTCATATGCTTATTTGGGCGGGAGTGTTGATCTGCTCGAGGGCAGGAAGGCTCTGCAGCGGGACCTGGACAGGCTGGATCGATGGGCCCAGACCAATTGTATGAGGTTCAACA